GGTTTCTTCGGGAGATATTAGTCAAATGAATAATATGTTAGTATCTTTGATGCGATATTAATGAAATAGACGGCATGAGATACGAGTGAAATACATAAGATATTAGCATATGCTACGAGATATTAGTAAAACAGATAGTATTACACTTTGCTTTTTCTTTTTAGCTATCAAACCTCAAGCGGGTCAAACCACACCGACTACCAGAGCACCAATAACAAGTAAGACAAGTTTGTATCTTGTTAGTAGAAACAACTTTGTATATTGACCTTCGTTCCCTTGTTCAAGAGGAGTGTAAGTTTGTTTACTCAATGAGGATAGAAGTGTAAAATATGAGAGTGAATGTGACAGATCAGCACGAAAATGATTGCCTCGATTGAGACGAGAGCCTATAGTAGATTGTAGTGGATCACTGTCGCATTTACATCGACTTTTGGCGCGAGAGCTGAAACCATATCGAAACGACATATACATGACTAGGATTAACAACACTACTGCGATAAACTGTTCAGGAGGAGGTGATATATAGCCAAGAAAATTAGGGCTATGCTATCTTATAGTCCACAGAAAATTCAAAATGGTGTCGTATGTTCGGCAGAATTTTCCAGAAACGTGGGGGCGGGCACAGTTAATTGACCGAACCGAAACCTATTTCTTGAGCTGGTTACAACTCTGCTAGAATTAGTCGCGCCTAAAAACTACGAGGTATTCTGTTATTATACTTTGTTTTTTCCGTTTAGCTATCCAAGCTCAAGGTCTTTGCACTAACAAGTTACAGCTTGTAATATTTTTGGAAAATTTTGGTGCAGGCACATCTGAATATTCTTCAGCAACTCCAGCTAGTTTGGGTTTCACTACTACTTACACGGAGCAAAGTAGACCTACCCCCGATGGTTCATATGCCATCGTCAATGATGTTCCTCATGATTATGGCAGTTGGATAAATGGTACCGATCACACTGGTAATGGTAAAGGGGATGGCTATATGATGTTGGTTAATGCTGCTGGTAATCCCGGTGAAGTTTTCAGACGTACCGTTTATAATTTAACTCCTGGATCCCGCTATCAGTTTTCGGCTTTTATATCTAACATAAATTACGGGTCTAATTTGATAAAACCTAACATCAACTTTGAAATTAGAACCACTGCAAATGATTTGCTGGCAATGGCGTCCTCTGGCGATATACCTGAGACGCCGACTCTTACGTGGAAGGAAGTGGGTATCTCGTTTGTGTCACCCTTGACGTCCGTCATAGTGGTAATGGTCACAAATTCTCCGGGTACTGGTGGAAATGACTTTGTTGTGGATGATATATCACTACGTGTGTGTCAAGGGGCTCAAACCGCACCGGCGATCACAGCACCAATAACAAGTAAGAGGGATTGTATCTTTACAGCTGAAAGAGTTTTGAATCTTGACATTCGTTCCCTTGTTCAAGAGGAGTGTTAGATTCTTTATTCAAGGAGGATAGAAGTGTAATATATGAGAGTGAATGTGAGAGATCACCACAAAATGAAGCAGATATCAGAAGTTTCAAGTAGGAGTTGGTGAAGTGCAGGGGATATTGATGATGTAGATAAGATATTGGTTTCTTCGGGAGATATTAGTCAAATGAATAATATGTTAGTATCTTTGATGCGATATTAATGAAATAGACGGCATGAGATACGAGTGAAATACATAAGATATTAGCATATGCTACGAGATATTAGTGAAACAAATAGTATATGAGCATCTGCGATACGATAATAGGAGATACCTGTGACATAGACGAAATAGTAGTGGAGTGTATGAGATAGGAAGCTAGATATTAGGACAAACAAAGCGATATTAGTGAAATGCACGATATATTAGAATCTTGTACGGTACATTAGTGAAGTACACGAGATATTATCGTCTTCGACGAGATATATGTGAAATGCACGAAATTTTAGCGGTTTGCACAAGGTTTCGGAAGATAAGGCTTGATTGGTCGATGTACATCACGAGTGCTCAAAAGCTTTATTCCAGGATGAAATTTTACTATAGATACTCGGGGCTATATCCCAGAATCGTAATCTTTTTCTGCGTTCTGCTTTTTGTTCTCATGATATTAAACTCATAAATGACGAAACGAAGCTTTGCTATTAGAAGTAACTCATACAGACAAGAGGCAAACACGTTGGTGAAAATTCCGATCCTGTATGATATCTACATGAAAAGTGACACGCAGCTGCTATCACTCTTCATTTCTCAAGTTACGATCGAGTTCATGTATAACATCATCATTTTCCTCCCATTTTCTCTAGTTGCTATTTAGCTGAGGATAGACGTTAAGATAAGCTACTGAGGAGAAAACGGCACGTACTTGTGCGTCCCTGGTCTTGTGGTTGTGTAAGAGAAAAAAAGGAAAGAAAATGTGGCTGTTTCTCGGCTTCTTAGGGCGATGAAAGTAAGTGTTTAACATTTGCTTAGAGGAGACATCGTCGAACTTTGCATTATCTTTAAGACAGTACGCAGACGCTGCTAGAGGAAGATCTGTAGCGGCGCTATAAGCAACCATAACTTATGTACTGTCTGTTGTTTCCTTCTGAAGTTTAAATGGTTTTGTTTATTTATTTGTTTGGCAACAGAGCCAATGACAACAACATGTACTGGTTCGTGGAATCCTACAGCATCGCTTCAGTATGGGACAGGCTCACCTGGCAGTTTATCAACTCAGTTTAATTTTCCCACCGATATATTTATTGATAGTAGCGATAATCTTTATGTTGCCGATAACAACAACGGTCGAATCCAAAAGTTTGCAATGGGCTCAACTATAGCTACAACGGTTGCCGGCGGTCAAGGAGGAGGGACGAACCCAAATCAACTTAAAAATGCGGCGGGTGTTTTTGTTAATAGCGCTTATATATATGTTAGTGATGTACAAGTAGGGACTGGCACCCGTATACAACGATTTCCATACAATTCAGTAAGTGGCACCGCTGCAACAACTGTGGCTGGTTCATCGGGTTTTAGCGGCTCAACAACAGATAAAATCGGGAACTGTTGGAGCTTGTACGTTGATAGCAATAATAACGTGTTTGAAACAGATTTTACGAACTGTAGAGTATTAAAATTTCCATCCGGTTCTACCAGTGGCTCGTTCGGTGCGCTCATAGCTGGTACTAGTACGTGTGGAAACGGTGCAAATCAGTTAAATGTTCCGCACGCTGTCACTCCAAATTCAGCGAATACCGCTTTTTATATCGCTGATACCCAGAATAAACGTGTTCAGGTATGTCCACAGAGCGGCGCCGGTGCATGTACAACATTGGTAGGCGCACCCACACTAGACGGACCTACCGACGTTCAACTAGGTCATGATGGAAATTTATACGTGTTAGATAGTACTCGGGTATTACGGTTTCCAGGTGGTTCAGGTACTGGAAGCGTAGTTTTATCATCGTTAAGTCAAGCATGGGCAATGGCATTCGATTCGCAAATGAACATGTATATTGTCGAATTTGGTCAGCATCGTGTGCGAAGATTTGATTACAGATGCTAAAAAGACCGCCTCACACTAATCCTACATTAGAAATTTTCTTGTTACAAAAATACTTTAACAATAGAGACGTTCATTATATGGAAATACTGAATTTTCTTTTAAATAATTTTGAGACTAGCAAAAAACAGTCCAATTGAAGACGATTCTGAGTTACATTTTACAGCTATTATAGTTTTAACTCTCATTAAATATAATAAAGTGGATATAGTTTATCAGCGAACTCACACGCGGAATAATTTATACATAGGAAGATGCAGAATTGGAAGGACTGCACAAAAGGCTGTAACAAATTGTTTTAAAAGTTTACTATCACAGATGTATTAAACAACTACTTGACAGGTTTCTCCTCGTCGATTAGGAAGAAGGAAGAATACCCCGCCTTGCGGTATAGGGTGCTGACGAAGCAGTTTCAATAAGCCATAATCACTCAGCCATAGCGGCCATCACCACTTGTCCTCGATTAGGCAAGGTATAGAACCATATCTTGAGTCAAAGAAAGAAACTGACTTCAGAAAAGATTTGAAAAATAGATTGCTAGAGACCCATAATGGTGCTAAAATAGCCTCGAAACAGGCATCATAAAATGCCCACTGCTGATCATAAAGATACGGCCACTTCTAGGCATTAATGCATTTCCAGTTTGAATTTACAAAAACTCAACGCCAACTTCAGATATAGTAATCTTGTATCTCTGAACTCCTCCAGTTCTACAGCCAACACGAAGATCTATTTAAAGAATGCATCCGCGATTAATCAAAAACATAATCACTATAAGAACCAGCATCATGCACATATTTCTACGAAAATTGCTGAACGACGTTAACAATTACATTTTAACAATACTTCTATTCTTCTTCAAGCAACGATCACTGTATCTCAGACTTCAATTTATTCCTGAATATTAACTAAGAGCGCGTGCTCACAAATATTTCATGTTTCAACTTAAGGTAATTAGAATCATGTCATTGTCGCTATTTCTCATTCTTCCTTTGGAACAAATTGCCGCATGAAATCGATCTTATACTTCAATTGGGTATGGTAAACATGATTTGATATTTACCATACTGCTAGAACTGTGGATACATCTCAGATTATATATCGTTGGATAGCTTATGAAATTCTCTACAAAATGCTCCGATTGATTTCCTTTTTGCTTTGAAACCAGAAATACAGGAGCCGAAATACAAATTCATATCATTTTTGGTGGCCATTTAAACAAATACCATATCATTTTTTCCCAAAAGTTTTCATCTGATGTCAAAGTCTTTGGCCAAAGCTCATATAGAGAAAGATAGAGAATTTTTTCGACTTCAAAGGGAGCTATAAATAAGTCTTTCAAAAATATGCCCACCTTGGCCTATCTATTACAATTGGAAAACATCGCACAATCAACAAATCTTTTAATGTGAGCGATGAGCTGTCTCTTGAAGCAGGAACGAGGTTAACAAAATGCGACTGATATTGACAAGTTTTGTATTTCGAACTACATGTACATTTTGAAAA